CTGTGCGCTGCGGGAGCATGGGTAGCGTCTGGCTCCCTTCCAGCTCAGAGGAGGCTCCTCGTCACTTACTGACTCTCGGCGTGCAAGGAAAGCAGACGGATTCGCCGTTGAAATAAAATCTGAGAGAAACCCAAGCCTTCTAGTGACAAGAAAGATCTGTACAAGTCGGAGCCAGAGGGTGGCACAGCAGGAAAACGGGAGCTCTGTGAGGCCGACCCACCTGGGAAGGTCCTGGGTTCTCATCCAGAGACCTCTGGGTACTCTGGGCTCATGTGTGCCCATGATCTGGGCCCGGCTAAGGCTGCGGGTGGATCACAGTGTCCGGACCCTGTTAGTTCGTTCTGTCTGTTTCTCTCCCGCTGTTGAAATAAGTGAATAAACGTAAGGAAAGGAGATAGAGGGACGGCAGATGGCCTGATGGTTAAGGTGCTGGACTCCCACATGGCCGACCGTGGTCTGAGTCCTGGACCTGGTGGCTTGCTTTCCCACTTTCCCTTTCCCTCTCTCTGTGCATCTCTCTCTGGTCAAATTAAAATAAATGAATAAATAAGTAAAATGAAATAAATAATTTTTCTTAAATAAAGAAGGAATAGAATGGTCTCTTCTCCCCCACTTCTGCCATGTTGTGGCCAGGCCCTGAAGGGAAGAGGTCCACACGGCTCATCGCAGGATGTGGACAGCTGACGTTGTCACTCTTACTATGGGGGGCCAGGGGTCTGGGCAGTGTCTGGAACTACAGACCTCAGCCAGCATCAGACCTGGCTGGACCTTCGGACCTTGCTGTCCCCCCGAATGGGGGTCGAAATGAGCTGTTGCTGGGGTCACCTCGAGGCTGAAGAAGAGATTAGGACTCCGTGCGTGGCCAGCAGCTGGAGGTCTCGCCCCAGTGGAGCTGTGTGCACGCTTTGAAGGGAGCGCCGCAGGGCTCAGGTGGAGAGCTAGCAGCCTGCCACTCCCAGAGGAGCCTGTAAGACCTGCCTTCTGGGACCAGCAGATAGCATAACGGTTATGTCACTGGACTCCCACGTAGTCGAACATGATTCAAGTCCCGGACCCAGTGGCTGAAAATTCACGCCAGGGGGACCAGCAGTTGGTGTAATGGCTATGTCACTGGACTCTTATGTAGTCAACCGCAGTTTGAGTCCCGGATCCTCCCCAATTTTTATTTATTTATTTTTTTTTAATTTGGGGGCTAGGAGATGCCATCCATGGAGGTTAAGACAGCTGGGTCCCAGGTGGCCAACCGTGCAGTTCCACTCCCAGACACGGAAGTTTAAAAAACATGCCAGGAAAAAAAAACATGCCAGGCACGTAAGCATGCATGCCCAAAATCCAGAGAGGAGAATGGAGAAAGGATCTCAGCATGACCATCCCCTTGAGGGGTAACTTCTCACTTTCCCTCTCGCTGTCTTTCTTTTCTCTCTCTCTCTCTCTCTCTCTCTCTCTCTCTCTCTCTCTCTCTGTCTCAGGCAAACACACAAGCCCTACAACAAAAACAAAAAAAGCAAACAAAAAGTTTTGAGTAAATTATTGGAAGAGTAGTCTTCATACTAATTTACGTCTCTTAGTACTATCATATTCTCTGAATCCTTAGTTGCTTGTTTTCTTTCTTTCTTTCTTTTTTTTAACGTTTTAAAAATTGGGATGAGGGATCAGCAGTTGGCATAATGGCTATGTCGCTGAACTCCCACGGTGTCAACTGCAGTTAGAGTCTCTGACCCAGTGGCTTAAACTCATGTGAGGATCGTGTGCGTGTGTGCCCAAGATCCCGAAAGGAGAATGGAGAAGGGATTGCAGCGTGGCCATCCCTCCTGGGGAGTGATTTCTCACTTTCTGTCTCTCTCTCTCTGGTCAAAATAAAATAAATGAATAAATAAATAAAATGAAATAATTCTGAAAAAAAAAATCCATGACCTGAGCTTCTCGTTAAACCCCATCTCGCATGCGCTTTCGTTTCAGACACATGAAGATCCATGAGAAGGATCCTAATGGCACTGCAGCCGCGGTCCCTTCATCCCCTCTGAAGCGCCGGCGGCTGTCGTCCAAGAGGAAACTGAGCCACGATGCCGAGTCGGAGCGAGAAGACCCAGCACCGGCTAAAAAGGTCCTCTGGGGCCAGCAGAGACGAGCCTTTCACGGGGTTCTGGGCAGAAGCACCTCTTATCTGTATTTTCGCAGTGTGGGGACTTGGCAGGCATCCCTCCCGAACTGCTACCGTGTGTCTTCCCACGCTGTTTTGTAAAGTATCTGTGGGAAGAGTACCTGTGAGAGCTTCCTCTCTGGAGCTCCCATGCTGGGCCCAGAGATGAAGCGAAGTATGTTCCCATACTTGTAAAATGGTTTTTACTGATGTGGAAACTTGAGACATTCAGTCAGCATTCTCTTATTCCCAGTTCCCGGCAGATAGCAGGTGTCCGACAGGCGCTTGTCACGTGGGGGCAGATGGGTGGCCTTGCTCAGTGAGCATCTATGTAAATAAATGAAGGGTCCCTTCTGTCCTTAAGGGTGGGAGAGGCATCCCTCTCCTTTGGGTAGAAGTCTCTGGATTTAGTGGTGACTGACATGTACATGCCCACAAAGGAGACCTCTTTCACGACTTCATGTTTTTCTTTTCTCTAAGATGGTAGAAGATGGGCAGTCGGGTGACATGGACAAGGCGGCTGACGAAGTCTTTCACTGCCCGGTATGTTTCAAGGAGTTTGTGTGCAAATACGGACTGGAGACCCACATGGAGACCCATTCGGATAACCCACTCAGGTAGGAAAAGGGGTGAGCTCGCCCTGTGGCCTGGGAGTACTTTTCCAGTTTTGTCCCTTCTGGCATGTGACATGGCCTTATTTCTCTTCTCTCTTTCCAAACTTGCCTCCAGTGACTGGACTTGTGCATGATGATGTTAGTAAGGGGACTGAGACAGGTGGGCAGGGGCCAGGTGGTAGCAAAGCAGTCGCATGCAGTGTTCTGGGAGGCTGGGTTGAATGGGCGAATTCTGGGTTGTGTCTAGAGACCTCCTTGACTCTACTGGGTGCATGTGTACCTGCGATCTGGGGCTGGCTAGGAGTGAATTGTGGTGTCTGAGGCCTGTTGTAGAGTCTCTCTCTCCCTCTCTCGGAAGAAAGAGAAACTATTTTTCTTTAAAGAATTATTTTATTTAACTTTTTTTTTTAATTGGCCAGAGAGGGACAGAGTGAGAGAGAAAGGGAAAGTGAGAAAGCAAGCCACTAGGTCCAGGACTTGAACTACAGTGGCCATGTGAGAGTCTGGCATCCTTAACCACCACGCCACCTGCTGACCCCCAAAGAGAGAAACTTTTTAAAGAAAAAAGGAGGAGGTGCAGTGTGGGAAAGATAGCAGGCTATGATTGTCAGGAGATGGCTGTGTCACAGGCGTGTTTACGCAGTGCATGCCTGTGCTCCTGGTGAGTCCCTTCGACCAGTCACTTGTGATCTCCAAATCAAGTAAGTCAGTCAGTCTGGCTGCATAGCTCAGTGGTTAAGTGTTGTGCATAGGGAGCCAGATCGCATGTGACCCACCAAGCACAATTTGAATCCCAGTTGGCGGCTTGAGACACATACTGGATGCTTGTGCATAGGAACCCGAAATCCAGACAGGATGAAGAAGTGAAAGAAAAAGGATTGTGGCATGACCGCACCCCACTGGGGAGTGCTTTCTCTCTCTCTCTCTCTGACAAGCACATGCATCCTTTGGCCATCATAGAGAGGGAGGTGGGTATGTAAACAGCTGATAGATACTGTCATAGGTGTGAACAGTCAAAAGGAGTGCAGCACAGGGGAGCTTCTGTTGTAGTGAGGACTTGAAGGCAACCCATCCTGGAGGTCCATCCAATTGCAGAGGAAGGGCTACTCAGTTGCAGCTTTGGGTTGTAGAAGACAACTTGGGAATCTATGAATCTGGCATCTGTTTGCCTAAATTCCTGATGTGTGGACCAGATTTCCTTCCTGAGGACCCATGTTTAGATGTGACAGGAGTGAAAACATCTGAGCACGCTGAAGATTTCTTTGTTGGGGGAAAAGCCTAATTGGACGTAACTTAAAGCCGGATCAGATATCATTATCTTTGATCACATTAGCTTAATATTTTTCCATGGATGGGGGAGGAAATTTATGGAGAGTTTTGACTGCTGAGGAGACGAAACGCTTTATGTTACGTGTCTTCATGGAACTGTCTGGTCCAGGGAAATTATTTGACATGTTGGAACAGGCATGGGCTGGACATTAGGCTCCAGCCCCTGCCCTGGCTCTGCCCATGTGTGACCTCAGCCATCCACATATGAATATATGTCCTCATCCTTGTGGTTGGAAGAGGGCCGGACTGGATAATCCCAGTGTTCCCTTTCAGGCTTTAAAGCCTGTGGTCCTGAAGCCTAATGGTTGTTGTCTTCTACCTACCAAGAAGAGGCGTCTGGCTCTTCCGTTGTGGGTCCGGTGGTTCTGAGACACTCAGGAACTTGACTTCACAATTTCATTAATGTCCACGGCATCCCCAGGATGTGGGCTTGTGGTGGTTGGGGCATCTTGAAATAGTTCTCTAGACCAAGTGCCTGAGCGAACAGAGCAAAGTCACCCGATGATCCTCACAAGGAGGGTCGTGGGCAGAGGCAGGCGGGGCTTCGGTGACCCTGCCACACAACTGTCTCACAGGGCTGCATAGCTTGTCCCCAACCTCCACCATCTGTTTTACTCTTTGCTTTCTTAATTTTTCTTTTTAGAGAAATTTTTGCCATAGGATGCGCCATCTGTTTTACGCTTTGCTTTTTAAATTTTTAATTCTTTTTAGAGAAATTTTTGCCATAGGATGCATGTGCTAGTCAGAGATAAAAAGTGAGAACTCACCCCCAGGGGGGATGGTCACGCCGCAATCCTTTCTCCTCCATTCTCTTGGGATTTGGGGTATGCATACATGGCAGTGTGAGTTTTAAGCTGCCAGGTCCAGAACTCGAACTGCAGTTGACTGCACAGGAGTCCGGCGATGTAACCATTACACCATCTGCTGGTCCCATGCCATCCGTTGTCTACTGTCTCACTTCACATTTTATTTTGTGTTGAGATGAAACGGGTTAGTCTTAGGAACCAGCCGTTTGGCCCCTTCTAGATAATTCTGTCCTACAGGAATAATCTTCTGGCTCTCACAGGAGAGTCCTGCCACTCGATCCTGCACAGCCTGGGGTGTGGCGGCGGTCCAGGGAGGTCAGGCGCCCCCTTCCGACACGCCGGCCTGGATGACAGTGTGGGTTCTCCCAAGTCTTCCTAGACAGAGACCTCCGAGGAGAGGCTGGGCCTCCTTAGTGGGGACAGAGGTGGCAGTTCCCCTGGACACTGGTCCTTTGGTTCATGTGTAGGGCAGACGTGATTTGGTGGGTCAGTCAGCCCCCATGAATCCACAGCCACGGACACACGTGGGCTGTGGTGAACTCCAGCCCTGCCTGTCCGCCCGACGGTGGGGGGGTTGGCTAAAGATGTCTCACAGCCTGATAGGGACTGACCTTCTGGGCAGTGTGGCATCCTTTGTGTGGGGCGAGAGGGCACCCCCCACCTAATGGATCTACCTAGTAACTGTTGCTAGGTGGGGTGGGATTGCATCTGGAAGCCGAAAGGGGCTGATTAGAGAACATAGTTCATTTCCTTTTTCTCTGCCCTCTGCCATGTGCATAGTAGCTCCGTCAGTGGGGGCCTGGGGGCAGGCGCGGGCCGGTCGGGCCTCACTGGCGCTGAACTGTGACAGTAGCTGCCGGGAGAGACCGCTTGTTAACCCAGAACTAAAATAGACACCAACTCCATTTCCAACCCCAAAGGCAGCAGAACCGCAGTGGGATGCTACCAGTTTAGACAGAAAGCTCGTAACTCAAAACAGCTGTCGGCTTCTCCCCCTCCTGCCCTTGCCCCCCTACCCCCGACGCTGGCAAGGTGCCCAGCGCGCCTTAATAAAAATCCAAACTCATGTACGCACGCAGCCCGTGGTCCTCTCGTTGCTGTGTTTCGAATTAACAAAGTGTTGACCGAGAACAAAAGGAGGCAGGAAGCCATTCCCAGAGATGGATTGTAGCTCTGCGGGTGGGGGATCGCGTTGTCCCCAGGGAGCCGAGGGGGCAGTGCAGGCAGCCATGTGGTGCCTCTGGTGCTCGCCGAGGGCTGCCTTTGGAGAGGTCCGGCCCGGCGTGCCTGGCACACAGCTGGGTGCAGCTGACGTCCCCTGCGTGGATGTTGCTGGCATCAGGGGTCTTGCTCCGTTAGAACAGAGGAACAGGCCGTAGGCTGCTGTGAACAGTCAGCTGGGAGCAGAGCCCGGGTCGGTGCCATACGGGACAGGAAGAGC